CATACCTATGCTTTCTGGGATGTCTGGGTAGCTCAGTCAGTTAAGCAGCTGACTCTTGATTTTGACTCAGGTCATAATCTCATGGTCCTGAGATCAAGCCCGCCACCATGCTCTGCACTTAGCTTGGAGTCTGCCTGAGATTCTTTCTCCTTCTCTGTCTGTCCTAAATAAATAAATAAAAATTAATAAAGTATACCTGTGTTTTCAGAAACTCCATGGTGCATCATATGCTCATTCTGAACAAGCCTGACAAGGAAGGAGATGCTCAGGTATGGAATCTTACTTTTTTTGCAAGTTGGTGTAGGACTACAGAACAATGGTCTCCCTGAATTACTCCTGGGTTGAGATGGGGAGATGTTTTACTGGTTGTTAAACGACTCCACAGATCAGATGTGAAGAGTAATAAGGAAAAGTTACTGGTAAGTCTCATCCCATATGTTCTCTTCAAATATTCTAACAAAACAAAGTAGATTATATTCTGTTACACTTTCACAAAAGAGGAAAAATAGTGCTATTATAAACTATGACATTTAACAATTAGATAATTTAGGAAAATTATTTAACTCAGGTCTTGCCATGTTAGAGACTTAACCATCAGAGGGGAAAAAAAGGTGTTTCAGAGATAATGGATAATGGGGAGTGTTTACTTCAGGCTATGGGAAGGAATGAATGGTAAAAGCTAACATAGATAAACAAAAGAGAGTTGGCAATCTTAATGGTTTGGTTACCTTAAATTCAGCCACTGGGTTTTTATTTCTAGCTTTAACCAGCCTATACCTATCTTGAGCTGTAATAACTTACTGTTTTCAGTTGTCCATACAAGAAGGTCCTCAGTCACATTTGGGGCCAAGGTACCTTGGAAAGACAGTGGCATCTACAGGACCCATTTACTCTGCCAGGTGGAACAGCTAAAAGGCAGTAAAGGGCCTTCTGTCTCTTCCACCTCCCTTGAGGTTTGACCAGGTCTATGATGTTTTAGGAGATTACAGAATCCCTGAGGAAATGAGGTCAGTAATTAAGAAGTGAACAGCAAAAATAACTAGCTCAGCAAAATGTCCCTCCAATTGCCCTGGTACAGAGTCATTTGTAGCAAAAAATCCTACTGTGAACAGGGCATGGATATAGCTAGATCCATAGTAAGATTTTATCAGAGGTGAAATACAATGCTGTGACTTAGATCAGGAAGTTTAAAATAGAAGCAAGAGTTCATTGAGGAGGTAGGCCATGAACTTCTGAACTGTTCCAAACCAGAATACCCCAAGGACTCAGCTGGAAGGTGTGCTACAACTTGCTATTGTAATGGACTTTTGCTTGGTGATAACCTTAACAACAATTGTTTAGCAGAAATCGGTTTTCTGCCTCCAACAACAAACAAAATTCCTTGTAAACAATGTATAATAGGCATTCCCTTTGTCTTAAAACACCTTTGACTTTTGTTTCCCAGGAGGACACAGTTTGGGTTGCCCAAATCACAATTATAATTCTAAGGCCCCAAATAAATGCTTTCCTTTCATTTAAGTTCTACATCTTTTCTCGGTTGACAATTTAATGTTGTGTCTTAATGTGTGTGTGTGTGTGTGTGTGTGTGTGTGTGTGTGTGTGAATGATTAGAAGAATATAAGGACAAAGAATTAGAATTTATTATTTTTAGTCAAAAATCTGTTTTTCAAGCACCTTCTTTCACAATGTCAGTCTGAATCATATTCATAATGTGAAAACACTGTCACATATTTGAGACAAGCAAAGTATAGGCATGAAGTCTAAATACACATTTTGGTAGACATAAAGGAATTTGCTAAATTCAGGCAATACATATTTATTTCCATGGGCTCATATGCAGACACTAGGAATCCATTTACGAATAAAAGAAAGAAAAATACCCATCACTATGGAATTGGTAGCCCAGTGAATGAAGGAATGAGAAAACAATTAAGACATATCCCTTTAAAAATATATTTTTAATTAACATATAATGTATTATTTGCCCCAGGGATACAGGTCTGTGAATCGTCAGGCTTACACACTTCACAGCACTCACTATAACATATACCCTCTCCATACCCCCCTCCTCCTGGCAACCCCCAGTTTGTTTTGTGAGATTAAGAGTCTCAAATGGTTTGTCTCCCTCCCAATCCCATCTTGTTTCATTTTTTCCTTCCCTACCCCATGAACCCCTACTTTGCCTCTCAATTTCCTGATATCAGGGAGATCATATGATAATTGTCTTTCTCTGACTGACTTATTTCGCTCAGCATAATACCCCTAGTTGCATCTGCATTGTTGCAAATAACAAAATTTCATTTCTTTTGATGGCTGCATAGTATTCCATTGTATATATATACACCACTGCTTCTTTATCCATTCATCTGTTGATGGATATCTAGGTTTTTTCCATAGTTTGGCTATTGTGGACATTGCAGCTATAAACCTTCAGGTGCATGAGCCTCTTTGGATCACTACATTTGTATCTTTAGGGTAGATACCCAGTAGTGTGATTTCTGGGTCATAGGGCAGCTCTATTTTCAACATTTTGAGGAAACCCCCCCTTTTTGAGACTCTTGGTTCAACCAGATTATCTTCCTTTTTATCTTTCCTGTTTTTTTTCTTTTTCACATAAATACACAGTTAATTATTTTCACATGTCCATTCTCTGTCTCTTCAGAGCAATTGTTATTATGTCTCCTCTGAACCTGTCCTCAGACTCCCTACTTGAGCATTCACTGGACAATAAGCCCTCCATCTTCAAATAGTAAAACTGTTCTCCATATTCCCTGGCTGTTAAATGGAGAAGTATATTCCCATGTGTATTCCCAAATATATTTCCAAAATGTATACCCTGACTGTCAAATGGAGAAGACATGGCCTAGCTGTGCTAAGGAAATACTGATATGGTGTTCTGGGAGAGGAAACGCAGCCCCACTTTTCAAGATGTTCCTATTTCTATCACTTACACTGCTAAAAGTTTCATCAGATGATAAGACAAATTAAGCCTTCAGTACCAAAGGCAGAAATAACACCTTAGCTAGATCCACTGGTTTCAAATAAGTAAGTACAGAATCAGTGTAATAAGTCAGAGAAATCACATCACATGGACAGGACGAGAGTGCCTCTAAATTCTGGAACACAGAGCAACTCAAGAATGTATGAGAGGAAGGAATCCTGAAATTGACTTTGTTCTTTGAGTATGAATCGGACCTCTTTCAAATCTAGGGTATGTAATAAAAAAGGGATTGAAATATGGATAACCTCAGTTTTTCAAATTGAATATTCCAGTGTTTCTTTAAAAGTGAAAGCAAAATAAAAATATACATATAATGACCTCCACATACAGTCACATTTCAGTGTGGTAAAGCTATACATTTTGGCAATGTTATTCTTAGGGGTCAGGTTTTTCAGGCATGAAATATGTGGTGGAATTGAGAACATAGACATTTGAAGGAGCACAGACAGATGTGAGTTTAAATCCTAGTTTTACAGTGAGCAGTTTTCTTGGCACTGTATATTTCATGCAGACATAACTTGATAAGAAAAATAGTGTATTTGTGAGCAAGACAACTGTTTCTGGAATCAGAGAACTCATGGCTTATCTAATGTAAGTGAACATGAATACAGATACAATCAGGTTAAAATACTACAATTAAATAAATAGTGTTCAATGACACCTATGTGTCTGCATATCTTTATATCTTATATTTGTGGCAGAAAAAAAGTTGGATTTAGTAAACTTTATGTGTTCTTAATATAATATGTGGTGGCATTTAATCCGAGGTCTAATCATTTTTATTAGGCAGATACTTACAAATTGTTTATTATCTTTTAACTATCTCCTTTTCACTAAAATGGTGCTAGTAAAACTCATCTCCTTTGGTTTAAATGAGGCTTATTTGGGTAATGTAATTAAAAGTTTGGAGCTTGAGGAAGACATCCAATAATTCAGTTTCCTTTCTTCTTTCCATAATACAGTATTTTAAAGATTTCCCTCACTTGTTTTATAGTTACATTTTAATGTGTAAATATCATACATTTATATACATTAATGTGTAAATATAATACTTTTACAGGTATTACATATTACCAAAGACATCTCTGACATATTTATTAATTTATTCAGCAATATACATTTATTATAATTTATAGTATAGATATTTCACAAGGTACTGAAGATGCAATGACAAAGACAAGAGACATAGTCCCTGATTGTTTAGAGGGGGAGGGTCATTAAACAATAGTTATGTTAGCAGGAAAGAGTCATGGTTGCCAAGTGCAATTACCTATGCCCACGAATATTCCTTCATTTATTAAAAGAACACAGTTGGGATTTACTGTGCCAGTATATAGGTATATACCAGAGATTTAGTATAAAGCAACACAGTGCTCTTCCACAACAATTCTAAATTGAAGAATATAAACATGAAGTAAAATTGTGCTGTAGTGTAATAAAATTATTAATGGGTTATATTTGAGGGAAAAGGAAAGTGCCAATTTTACTGAAATGTTGGAAACACTCATAACAGAAAAAATTTTGTTCCATGTTGGTGTTGAAATTGCAAGCCAAGCATTGATAAATGTTTAGAGTCTTATGAGGGCTGGTATACATGTATAAAAATATATTGAATCACCCAATTTGAAGAAAGGGAACATCATGTAATCAAAGTTGAGATTGGAGAGAAAGGTAAGGATAAGAAAATGGAAAACTTTCTAAAATATGTAATAACTTGGCCTTTATCTGACATTTAATTGTAAATCACTTGAATATTTAAACTTAAGCATTTAAATAACAGAGAGACATAAAATTTCACTAAGATCTTTCATGCAACACATTAATGGATGATAAATTAGATCAAAACAATAGTAAATAATAAATTGGCTCAAGACAATACTACCATCTTCTTGTCAGACAAAAAGAAAATACCTCCACTCTTACAAAACTGTTCTTGGAAAACCGACAGATGAAAAAGGAAGAGAGAGTCAGGGTATCATTTTCACTAAGCCACTCTTGACTACAACAAGTTTCCCCTGCCCTTGAATACCTTGTGTATTACAGATCTTATCTGTTTGGTTTTTAGGCTATAAACCAAGGGATTAAGGATAGGGGTCAAAAAGAGAAAGAGATTGGCCATGGTGACATGGAGAACAGGAGATGTGAACATACCAAATCTGTGAATTAGAGCCAGCACAATGAGTGGCACATAAAAGATACAAACAGTGAAAATGTGGGACACACAAGTATTAAGTGACTTGAGCTGACCATCTTCTGAGGCAATACCCAGCACTGTTTTCAAAATAAGTATGTATGAAATGACAATGAGCACAGAGTCAACTCCAAAAGAGCAGAGGACAAGGGACAACCGTAGATGATGTTGATTCTGATGGGGCCACAGGCCAGCTTCATAACATCAGGATGGTAGCAGTAACAATGTGATAGAATAACATCTTTGCAGAAAGACAATTTCTTGAGCAGGATTGGCAAGGGTACCATCAACATCACACCCCTAACCATGGCTGCAATTCCCATCCCAATAATTCGAGGAGAGGTTAAGACCACAGTGTAGTGCAGTGGGTTGCGAATAGCTACAAATCGGTCAAAGGCCATGGCCAACAGGATGGCTGACTCCATGGAAGAGAAAGTATGAATGAAGAACATCTGTGTTAGACAAGAATGGAACTCTATTTCTCTGCGATTCAGGAGGAAGACCCTGAGTACTGTAGGTAGAGTTGATAAAGACAGACCTACATCTGTGGTTGCCAGCATAGATAGGAAGATGTATTGAGGCTCATGAAGGCTGGAGGTGGTTTTGATAACAAAGAGGATGATGCAGTTCCCCAGGAGGGCAGTTAGATACATGACACACAGTGGGATAGAGATCCATATTTGCACAGCCTCCAGTCCAGGAATGCCTGTTAGAAGGAGAGTGGGTGGCTGGAACCAGCTACCATTTACAAGTTCCATAAGGATATTTCTTGGGATCCAGCCCAAATCAGGTTCTATGTGTTTCTATTTGGAGAAAAACATAGATTTTAGGATAGGAGGACATAGTGCACCTAACTTCTCTGGGACAGAACTAATCCTAGGCATCCTTAGATATCAAAGAATTAACCCTTAAAATGTTTCCCAGTTTATCTGAATAACTATCTGAAGTGAGGACAATGGATACCTAGTATTAAAACGGAAGAGCTACTATCATTCCTTTGGCCTAGAACACTCCAATCATCGATCAAGTGACAATGAAAATTAAGTACATGATTTTCTTTTTTATCTCAATGCTTAGAAAAATTTTATTCTCAGAAGTCTATTTTTTAAATTTATTTAGTTGTTTGCATCTACTTTTATTTTTAATTACTTAAGCTGGAACCCCAAAAGAAACTCCTGCACTTTCTCCACATCAACATCATACCTATAAATATTCAGGCATTTGGAAACCTGGTCATTTTTCCTGTTAGTTTTACCTATAGAAATTAAGCATGGAAACATAAACTACAAATCATCTTAAAAAAAAAAAAACTTCATGTGACATCATTTATTTTTATAATTAATTTCTATGTTGATTTTTAAAATCATGTTGATTTTTCAAAATATGAGTGATAAAATCATTAAAGTGGATACTGTCATTACATCTTAGCTAGTGCTAGAATAGTTCAAACATTAACAAATAATTTCTTTTTTTAACAATTTCCTGAATAAAATTTGAAATATGTCTACTTGAAAACACAGACATAATTAATTAGGCAATAGATACCAATACCCACTGAGCCACTCAGGCGTCCCTAGATACCAATACTTTAGGAAATATCTTAAAAATTGCATAATTGATGTGGAACTTACAAAAAAATAATAAACAAACAAAAACCAGAATCAGAACTATAAATACAGAGAACAAACTAATGGCAGAGGGGAGTGGGGGGATGGGAAAAATGGGTTAAGGGGAGTGGGAGATACAGGTTTCCAGTTATGGAATGAGTAAGTCATGGGAATAAAAGTCATAGGGAATATAGTCAATGGTATCGTAATAGTATATGGTGACAGATGGCAGCTACACTTGTGGTGAGCAGAGCATAGCAGACTTGTCAAATCACTATGTTGTATAGCTGAAACTTAACACTGTGTCAATTATACTCAAACAAACAAAAATAACATAATTGGAGGAAATGGTCTTAACACTTATGTCTTTATCTTACAAAGAAGGGCAGGAAGAGATTATAAATGATTGGTTGAATACACTTGGATTTCAGCGTTTTGTTTAAGATTGCAAACAGAAACAAAATAGTGATGTAACTGCATTCGGATAAGTGAGATTGGAGAAGAGGGTAAGTATATAACTAATGTAAACTCTGTCTGAAAGAGCATGAAATCAAAACACAATGTATTTTGTAAAGTCATATTATTTAAAAGTATGACCAAAATTAAAACAGCAGAAGAGAAACTAAATGGAGATTAATGAAGGATTCCTTTTCAGGAAGAAAGCTAGAGACAGGGAGGATTGAGATAAGAGACCAGGCTTTATTTACCCTCAGCCAAAATTAGTTGTGCTGTTTAAAAAACATGGCAACATAAACAAAGTTATCTTTTTAAAGAAGCAAACATATTTTTGAAGAGCGGATCTCAGATGAATCACAATACATACATTTCCATGTGTTGATATATAGACCTATGTTTGTTCAATTCCTTACTCTCATCTTCTTGGCAGTGAATGTCTACTATACCCTACTACATTCTTTCATAGAATGCCTAGTAAAAAGCATTCCTAAAGCATGTCTTTTCAGCTGAAGGAATGCGGAGAGAGGGAGAGAGAGAGGGAGAGATCCTAACACGGAGACAGACTTCTTTGGGGATTAGAATACTAAGCTTTATACATATTTTTTCATCTGTACATATGAAATATCTGAGTCTTCTTTGACATGAGTCAAGAAAGAGAAGGAGAAAGAGGTGGAAGAGGAGGGGAAAACTCATAGTTCATAATAGAAAGGACATCTGAAGATACCACACACACTCATAGTAACTCTACACATTGCATCGCACCAAACCGAGGCCTGGGACATAAAGTTCTGACTTAACACAACACACAATGGACCTCACTTAAACATACATAAATACATACACTACAGGTTCATAAACACATGTATTAACTGTCTTTCCTCCATTTGCTTTATGTTGCAGAATATCTTGGAATTCACTCCCCTCTCTTTTATACACATTTTCCCCCTCTGATTTTGGCACTGAGTCTCTAGCATTACCAGCACAAGTATCCATGCCACCATCAATGTGACTGCACCACCAGTGTAAAACTCAAGTATATACTTGAGTTTAGTCCTATTGTTAGCTGTTTCAGTTTTAATACTTCTAGTGCCCTTATTTCTACCCTGTTCTATGAGAATGTCTTTTATTTCAACTAATTTTTTTTCTAGTCACTCTCCACTCTCGTCAGATTGGTGGATTAATTCTACCACATATGACTCACTCATTTCAATATCAAAATATCTGTACACTTTCTGATAGGATCTCAAATCTGATCTTGCTTTACCTCCACTGATGGTAATTAAATTCATGGATTAAAAGCTGGTCTATATCCAACGATATATAAAATCTTCTTCTCTTTTAAAAAAAGATTTATTTATTTATTTATTATTTATTTATTTAAGAGAGAGTACACAAGCATGACCAGGAGGAGGGGCAGAGGGAGATCTGAGCATGGGTCAGATCCCTGCTGAGCGTGGGACCCTGGGATCCCAGGACCCTGAGATTGTGACCTCAGCCAAAAACAGATGCTTAACCAACTGAGCCACCCACATGCCCCTATAAAATTTTCTCATAACTATTTCATATTACAAGAATTCCTCAAGCCATTACAGTCTTACAGAATGTATTTTTCTCCCAGTGGCTAGCATTTATACCATATGATTTCATATTGTCTTCCAAATGAATTTTCCTTATAGAATTTGATTTTAAACACCTTTAAGGTTAGGACCGCACCCTTCACATATAGGAATAAGGAGAGCCCAATACTCTTTAGACATAGAAGGATCGTAGTAAATTTTGTTTAAACAAATAAATTACTTGTTTAAAGATTCTTACTGTAACATAAATGTGTTAATCCCTAGTGAAGATTAAAAACTCACCAGGAATTCATGCTCTCTTTTAAATTCTGATGTACAAAATGTTCTGGGAGTCATACTCCTCATAAAGTCTCATTTAGAACTGAAAAGTAGCAAGACAGATGACAATCAGATGGAGAATATTCACTCTGGTATTTATCAACCTGCTCAATTTCCAGTTATCCTTGTGCTAGAGTTCCATTCAACTGTGGTAGATTGCCCATTCTAACCAGAAAGATATCCTGCAGGCTATTTCTAGAGAGCCAAAAGACATTTAATTACCAATTATATATATGCCCCACCTTCAAACTCCTAAAAATTCCTTTAAGATGTATCACTTCTTTGGCCTTCCCCCCAGAGCCCAAAACCAAACATTGGTCTCTCACTTATATACTATGAATCCCCATTTGTTAACCTTGAACTCCATAACACACTTCTTAGCCCCTCAATCCTCAATTATGTGACTACTCTCATCTTTTCCCAACCTTTCCTTCTGATTTCCTTTCTAAAGGCACTGAACTTCCATGACTTTCATTTTGAATCTATGGGAAACTTTGATGAAGCAACTCCTAAAGCTGGTTCCTCATCTTTGTTCTTCTCTTTTTAAAGTTTTATTTATTTAAATAATCTCTATATGCCACATGGGGCTCAAACTCATAACCCAGAGATCAAGAGTCTCATGCTCCTCGACTGAACCAGCCAGGTGTCCCTCATCTCTTTTCTCTTAAAGAACATACATTCAACAGTTCTTTTTATGTGTGGTACAAACTCCTCACCATGCAGCCTGCACCTCCACATGGACTGAGAATGTGAGCTGAGCAGTATAATTCTCCTCTGAGACTCGCCTTCCTTGGCACAGAGAATACATGGGTTTTCAGAAGATGTTAAAAGACTCTGATACATGTATTTGCCAAATACTGGAGTTATTTAATGCCACAAGTAGAAGATCTGAGATGTAAGGTGCAAGAGGGAGTTAATCAAAATATACTCAAGAGATAGTCACTTCAATGTGCTACACATGAATGTAACAAAAAACAAATCACTTGGAAGCAATGATGTACCATGCCTGCTTTTCTCAATGCTCCAGAGTCCCTGTAATTAAGCACACATCCCAGCATGAAACCAGTTTTATCTCTGCTATTCACCACAAACATGCAATAAGCTCTTTTTTTAAGAAGTGATTTTTCCTGATAGATGACCTTTTGTATCCGACTTAGTTTGGATCATTTTTTGAAGTGAATCATTTTGAACCATAATTTTTTACTATTTTGGGGGGGAAGTTGAGGGTTGGACACTCTTTCAATATCATTATTGTAAATGTCCATGATTATATTCTTTCTCAACATTGTAATGCTACAGTGTTTTTTGTTTTTGTTTTGTTTTAATAACTTATGCTAGTATGAGTTAGTATAGTATTATTAAAAGTTTTGGGTCTTCCCCCCTTTTCTTCCTGTAAGGCTGTTAGTTGTAAATCATTTTCTCTTTTTAAGGTTCATTATGTCTTTTCTGTGGTTGTAACATTTTCCTCTCCTTTCAAAGTTATAGTCTTTATTTCCTACTTCATTCACAATGCCTAGAATGGTACCCAGTGTGTAGAGGCATTCAATATATCCTTGATCAATGAAGAATATTAGTGATGAGGGCTTCCATTTTGGGTCAGAATGGAGTAAGAGGGATTAAATCATCTTCCAATCTCAAACAACCAAAATAATTAGGCAAGGGGTATGAAGCAATAGTTTTTAAGACAATGAATCTCTGGTAACAAAGGACTATAATCCTGGAGAGTTAGGGAAACATACAAAATAAATCCTAAAATATACAATAAATCCTCAACTCACTGATTTAAAAGTTTCCAAGAAG